ATTACTGATTGGTTTTATTCCCACTGTCCTCCAGATTGTGCAGTACATTGGAGAAATCTGCCGGTATCTACTGAACCAGCCAGTTCGTGACACAGAGCGACAGCACCATGTGCGCATGGCACTGGGCAACGGCCTGCGTCAGTCCATATGGGAGGAATTCATGAACCGCTTCAACATTTCACAGATTGCAGAGTTTTATGGAGCCACAGAGTGCAATTGCAGTCTGGGCAACTTTGATAACAAGGTAGGAACATGTCTCCCAAAAAAAACTGGTGATGTTGAACTGGCAAAATTTAATTTCATTATGAATCCAAATGTTTAAAATGGCATCACTGTGGTAAAGTATTGTCTTTTAGAATCCCAAAGTCTGCTTAATTAATCAAGTTGCATAAATTTAAAAAAAGAATTCAGAGGTTTTTGTTTTCATTAATGCTCTAAGGTCACAATATTAAACATAACAGCACCTTGTAAGCTGCTGTAATACAGTTAGGTCTATATATATTTGGACACTGACGCAAGCTTTGTTATTTTTATCTGTTTACTAATAGATATTCCAATTATAGTTAGTTATAGTTATAGACTCCCAGCTTTCATTTGAGGGTATCCACATTTCTACATAGCCACTGTCTTTTTAAAGGGACCAAAAGTAATTGGACAATTGACTGAAAGGCTAGTTCATTGGCAGGTGTGGGCCAGTGAAATAGCCTTTGTCATGTTATTATCAATTAAGCAGATAAAACGCCTGGAGTTGATTTGAGGTGTGGTGATTCCATTAGGGAGATTTTGCTGTGAACATACAACATGTGGTCAAAGGTGCTCTCCAAGCAAGCCATCTGTAAGTGGCAAAAACAGAAAAAACACATCGGAGAAATTGCTGCAATATTAGAAATAGCAAAATCTACAGTTTGATACATCCTGAGAAAGAAATCAATGGTGAACTCAACAATGCAAAAAGACCTGGACACACACACAAGACAGAATCATTTCCATGGTGAAAAGAAATCCCTTCACAACAGCAAACCAAGTGAACAACACTCTCCAGGAGGTAGGCATATCAATATCCAAGTCATAAACGAAAGACTGCATGAAAGTAAATACAGAGGATTCACTACAAGGTGCAAGCCACTCTTAAACCTCAAGAATAGATAGGACTTTGCTAAAAAAGTCAATAAAAAATCATTTTTTAAAAACTAGCGGAGTTCTGGAAAAACATTCTTTGGAAGGATGAAACCAAGATCAACCTCTACCAGAACGATGGCAAGAATTAGTATGGAGAAGGTGTGGAACAGCTCATGACCCAAAGCAACCACATTATCTGTAAAACACAGCGGAGGCAGTGTGATGGCTTGGGCGTGCATGGCTGCCAGTGGCACTGGGACACTAGTGATGATGTGACAGAGGACAGAAGCAGCCAAATGAATTTTGAGGCGTTCAGAGGCATACTGTCTGTTCAAATCCCACTAAATGCACTAAAATTGATTGGGTGGTGTTTCATAATAGAGATGGACAGTGACCCAAAACATACAGCTAAATCAACCCAAAGAAGTGGAATATTTTTGGATGGCCAATTCTGATCTTAATCTAGTTGAGCATGCAATTCACTTGTTGAAGACTAAACTTTGGACAGAAAGGTCCACAAACAAATGACAGTAAAGGCCTGGCAGAGCACTAAAGAGGAGGAAACCCAGCATCTGGTGATATCCGTGACTTCAAGATTTCAGGCTGTCATTGCCAGCAAAGGGTTTTTAACCAAGTACTGGAAATGAACATTTTATTTTCAGTTATTTATTTGTTTAATTACTTTTGAGCCCCTTAAATGAAGGGGGGTTAAAATGCTTTAGTTCCTCACATTTCTTTTATGCAATATTTATATTCAGCCCACAGAATTAAAGCTGAATGTCTCAAGTTCAACTGCATCTGAGTTGTTTCATTTAAATTCATTGTGTCAACGTACAGAACCAAAATGAGAAAAATATTTATGGACCTAACTGTATGTGTGCCTTTCATTGTCCTCACCATACTGATAGATTTGTGGTTGCTGCTCTTTGTCTTTGCATCAGATGGGAGCGTGCGGCTTCAACAGTCAGATTCTACCCTTCATCTACCCCATCAGACTGGTGAGGGTTGATGAAGAGACCATGGAGCTAATTAGGGGACCTGATGGTGTCTGTATTCCTTGTAAACCTGGTGGGTTTACAGCCTACTTGTACCAAACATCTCTTTTAACCCTAACAAGCTCAAAATAAGTTTACAATGTTATTTTTAAGTAGCAATAAACACCTTGTGTAGATACACAGCTCATACATTCCCATAAAAATGGTCCATGTTTCTTTATTAACTAAAGATGAACATGTCATCTGTATTTTTAGCAGTAATACTTTGTAGGTTTCTAAACACTAAGGGTCAGCTGACTGATTGATAGTGTTAAAACAAAGCTAGAGTAGTTTACTCATCAGAAAGGCTGTGACCGCTCAGAATTATAGTATGGCACTGTGTTTATAATCTGTGTGTTAAACTTTCCAGAATACATAATATGCATAAGCTGTTTTATTTAAGATCCTTGGGGGCTCCAAAAAGACTAATGTTCCTTATCTCTTTCTCATTCAAGGTGAGCCTGGACAGCTTGTTGGCAGAATCATTCAGAATGACCCTCTACGTAGGTTTGACGGCTACGTCAGCCAAACAGCAACTGACAAGAAGATTGCTCATAGTGTGTTTAAGAAGGGAGATAGTGCCTATCTGTCAGGTTGGTGCACTTAGCCACACACACATATTGAGTAGTTTACCGTATGCCATTATGACTGAATGAACTGAATACTGAATCATTGCTTTCTCACTAGGTGATGTGCTGATCATGGATAAGTATGGCCACATGTACTTCAAAGACCGAACAGGAGACACTTTCCGCTGGAAAGGAGAGAATGTCTCAACGACCGAGGTGGAAGGAACTCTAAGCAGACTCCTAGATATGAAGGATGTCGTTGTGTATGGAGTGGAAGTACCAGGTAATATCTTGGAATTTCTGTTTTTGTTTTTTGTTTTTTTTATACTTGTCATTAACATCCTGGGTAATACATAAATGTTGGCTAATCAGACACACTGGCTTTTTATATGATATGTTATATGATATACCTTAATTTTAACCGAAAAGGAAGCTTAGGGTAATTTAGAAATCTTTGCTTGGAGCTACGCTTGCTGGATAAACTGATTCCGTTGTTTCCAGAATTCGCAGGACCGTCTGGACTACATATTGCAGATGAATTACAGCAGAGCAGATGGTTTTGATATTGATATTTGATATTCAAGGATGATTTTTTTATAATTTAATGCCCAGCAAACCCAGGATGGTAAACATTTTGAGTTTATTTCTTAGAATAAAACGTGTTTTTTGTGCACAATTTCTTATTAATAAGTGCAGCGTATATAAATTAAGTATACCGAGCAACACCGTGAGGTTTTTTGTTTTTGTTTTTTTCTTCATGCAAGAACCACACTGTGCTTAGCTCTATAGTTGTCACAGATGTAATGTCTTGGCTTGCCAAGTCAAAATGTGTTTGGTTCCTGTTGCACAGTGACAAAGAAGGTATATGAAGGCTATACTGGCACAGCAGTAAAAACACAAACGTATAAGCATGCTATTTTTCAAAGAGATGTTACTTTTGTGCAGGAAGACAATGTATAAAGTCAGTTAGTGGTGTCAATATAATAAAAGCTGAATGTTGACTGCCAGACGGGCCTCATCTACCGTACAAAGCTGAAGCTTCTGTGATGCTCTGGTGCTATATGAAAGGGAGAAATACAAGTGGGATACTGTGTAAACAAAGGTTCTCCACAAGGCTTTTGGTCTCAGTGCACAAACATGACCTGAACTTCAACCTCAGCTGGCACTAGAATTCCTCCTCTGACCTGTCTCCATCTGTGTGCACAGGAGCAGAGGGAAAGGCTGGAATGGCAGCCATTGCCGATCCATCTCACTCCACTAACCTGGAGAAGTTTGTGAAAGACATGGAGAAGGCTCTCCCTCCATATGCCAGACCTGTCTTCCTCCGTTTCCTCCCAGAGGTCAACAAGACAGGTAAAAATGACTTCAACCAAATATTGATATTTTGCATAAGAAAGGAAGCGCATTTCTTTGTTTACTTTACAGAATGCTTCAATTGCTTTTCAAGTGCCGTCTGAGTCTTAAACTTTCTCAGCCACTTCCATAGTTTTTTCAGTTAACTAGAAGTTTTTTTTCTGCTCCCTCTTAGTCTTCAATGGGGAAATTGTATATTGTAATCTAATTTCTACCTTACAGCAAGTTTTTGATCACTTTGAGTCCATGCAACAAATTATATTTTGCTTTGTTGACACTTTTTTTTTAATCATCACAAAACTGTGTGTTTCAGTACTTTCAGAACTTTAGATAGTATTATAGTTTCATAAAACATACATTTGATGTATTTTACAAATACAGCAGATTTCATAAGAGAAAAACTAGCATTGATGGCAGTACTTCGATTAAAGGGCATTGTTTGGCAAGCAAATCTCTCTACACATTCTCTTTCTGTGTATCTCTCTTAGGTACTTTTAAGTTTCAGAAGACAGAGTTGCGTCGGGACAGCTTTGATCCCAGCGCAGTGTCAGGCAGACTGTACTTCCTGGATTCCAGCAAAGGGCGCTACGTGCAGCTGGACGAGGAGCTGTACCGCTCCATTCTGTCAGGGAAATGCAAATTGTGATGACCAGGCTGACCACTACATCAACACACACACACATACTTGCGCACACACACACTTTCACACACAAATACAGAAGACAATATGTGTGACCAAATTAGAAGATTTTGTCCCCTTAGTCACAAAAAAAATACATTACAATAAAGAAGAGAATAGCCATATACAGGCCAACACACACACGTATTCCCAAAACCACTTTGCTCTTTAACATCCTTAATAACAGACTGATGCACGTAACGCCCAAAAACACACACTCCACTCTGCCCGTCGCTCCTGAATACTCCTCAACAACTTCTCTCGCTACCTCAGCAAACAAAGAGAGAGGCACAAACCTAGAAAGCAGGTCTGCTTGGTGACTTGAAGCCACCCTTCATAACCACGCACTCCCTCGCCCACCAACAGATCTCATACACTCCCACCTGTAAACGCTGGTCCATTAAACCACAGGTTATTGCTGGCATGAAGGAGGAGCAAGAGGAGAGGGATAGGCTGCCTAGCATCCAGGATGCAAAAACTTGACACTCCAGATAAACACAGACTTAAAGGATGCTGATGAAGAACATGGATTAAGTACATTAAATATGTGAGATAACAGAGGGACCTACTTGGACCTAAACTATCTCTCTGTTCATTGTTCTGTTAGTGAGATTGTTTTGTGACAGACTGAAGCTACTGCTGTCGACTTAACCTGCACAATTAGCCAGTAGTGACAAACATGTGGAATAGCTACATACGTCCTGTTTTAGGTCAAATGTATCAAAGTATTTCCTTTAACTCTCAACTCTTTGTCTTTTCTTTTCCATTCCTGTTGTATTACAGCAATTCCAAAGGCTTTCTTTCTTTCTTTGCTTTTTAAAGACCAACATATTTGACCTGTAACAGAAGTAAAAACAAAGTCCAGTGGTTGAAGGTGTAAATAGGGCTCTAGCAATTGCAGTGCAATAATTATCCACATCGGAAATGAAGAAAAACAAAGCTTTTTATTTAAATGTCTGAGATACACCAAATATATTTAAGTTGTAGTTTCTACATATTTAAGAAAATACAGACATTAATTTATTTTGTTAAAGTCTTTCTGTTGTCTTTTTTCTGCTTTGTGTGTATCCAAATCTGTGCTTCAATGGCTTGGGGAGTCCTCCTTATATCAGCTGTTAAAACACAGTCATGTGATCAGACTGTTTCAACCCTGGACTAAATACATGGAGCTATTTCCATAAACAGGACTTGTTCACATACTGAGCACGAGTCCAGTATTGCTGTGTGGCTGTTTTGTGCAGGTTTTGTCCTGAAAGGTAGACTTTGCCTATATTAGGGTGTGTATATTCTTTTAAATTATATAAATTTGAGTGAAGTGGCAAAAGCACCTGATCAGTGAGGAGTTCATCTGGTGCTAAAAGGGATGTTCTACCAGTTGAGGGAATGCTGAATGATCCAAAGATTCAAAGGCGGGAGCAGGAACATTTGAACTGGAAGGAGTGCATCAACATGGAGCAGTAGAAGAAGAGAAGACAACATGCTTTGTCATCAATGTTATTGTCTGTTGTTTGCAGTAGATGTTCTCTGAGGTTGTAGCAGCATGAATGAGCATCATCAACCACAAGCAGAGCACTGTGCCTTACTGTGAGTTCACCTCCCAGGTTCACAGGCCCTGGCCCACACGCTTCCTTTTGTTGGACTTCATCTTTCACTCTCTGTTGGTGTCCGTCTTCCATGATCTAATTTTGTCTGCCTCCGAATTACCCGACATACTAGTCATGCAAATCTGGCGCGGATCACAGGAGCTCCGAATAGTTTCCTGAAAATTGTCTGATAACTATTCACGGCAGCCACTGGACTGGCATCTTTATCCTGCCAGGTGCAGGAAGGGTTTGTTTTTGTCATTGGGCAGGGGTCCAATTTCCCAAGCCTGCCGTGATAGCAATTCCAATGACCAACCTATACTTCTTGTTTTTAAACTCTTCTGTTCTTTTAGTCCTAATTGTAACTTTAACATGTCTGCTAACAGTTTTATTTGCTTTGTATTTCTTTCTTGGGTTGTCATATAGTATTTTACCCGAGTTTCTGTTTGCTCAGCACTTTTATTTTAAGCCTTTATTGTACTTTCTGCCAACCGGCCCATTCCTTTCCCTTCATCTCTTCCCCGTTCTCCTCTCCCTCCAATCCCAACCGTTTCTCTCGGGTACTCATTTCCTGCTTCATGTTATTACTGATTCAGACATTTGTTCAAAACAGAAAATCTGAATACATCTCACATATTTCCTAAGTTCCAAATTGCAACTTGATGGTTTTATTTAGTTGACTTTTAAGATGGTTCAGAAGGTCTCATAACATGACGTTCCAAACAAATGCTCAAAACCTTTTTCAAATATTGTTTACCAAAGTGTGTTGTTTGTAGTCTGCCATTACCCTGTTTGTGTGTGTGTGTGTGTGTTTTTGTTTTTCTTCTTACATTGCAACTGATCACATCCTAAGTTGCCTACATTACAGCAAGTTATCTTTTTTTCAGCAGTTTATGTTTAAACATCTTTTCTTGATTTATGCATTGCACTGATTGACGCAGTTGACTTTGATGGCTGCAGTCTGCTGACAGTGACCGTCAAAGTTGCTCTCAAGTGTGATTTCCCTGTTTTGGGGGAATAAAACAACAAAAACAAAGCCGTTCGACAGATTTGTTTCTGCTTCCTCCGTCTCTCGCATTAACTTGTATTTATTCTTTAATGATGAGTGTGAAATGTTCTCATGAATGTATGAAAAAGAAAATAAGTGAGTGGTGATGGTGATCATGTTCGGTAAAGTCTGATTTGTATATCCAAAGGGAACTTGGTTTGGCTGTTATGATGCTTCTACCTGAGGGGTTGCATTCGTCGACCCTGACCACCAGGGGGCGTGTGATTAAACAGTCCCACAAAGAGCACTCTGAAGAGGATGTTTCCATTATTCTTAATGAGTTAAATTATTATTTTTGAACAATTGTTAATTGAACTTTGATTGTTTTACTGCTACATCTGTTTGCTTTTGTGTTGTTTGTGTGAAATCATAGCTTTTTTGTGGTTTTGGTATAAGAAAAGAGGATTCATGCATTTTGAAAGACAATCGAATGGCTTTTTGTTTTTTCTCTTAGCAGGATGGGGGGGGGTCAGGGAAACACTGATTTTTTTGCGTCTACTCAGAGCTCTTTGTTTTGTGATGTCTGAGAGAATAAATATTGAGTCAGAAACTACACTATACAAACTAGGCATGGTCATGATCACGCATGATAATAATTTGTTTAAGAAGTTTAAAACTGATTCAAATCTTTCATTTAGCATGTCATTAAAATGACTCTGAGGAACCAAGTTCCCATACCATCTGAATACATTTACATTACTGTTGTACAGTTTGGATTTAACACGAGTCCCTAACACACTCACACATGGAGATCGGTGTGACCATTCAGCTTCTCTCATACTAAGAAATCAACTGAAAACTTCTGAAATGGTCAAATTTGGTGAGGAAAGCCTCAAAGGCTTCAAGCTGTCACCAGTCTTCCCAGTTCATAATGAGATCGGTCAATGTATGTCGCTTCAAATGCAAGTGACGAGTCACCTCTTAAGGCACAGTTAAGTTGAACTGAGTGGTGATTACGCAGCCTGGCTATTTTACGTATAACACATCTTTTTGTGTTGCACTTTTCTTTGTTCCTCCCTGTCGTGGTTCAAACATGTCTGCCTACATGTGTGGAAAAGGATTAGTTGTTTGTTTGTTTTAATTCGGTATATATAATTTTATTGTCTCACTCCATAGACAGCAGTTCTGAACAGAGTGCGTAGAGGAGGTCTGTGAGGTGTGCTGTGTGTGTGACACACTGATGTCCCCTTGTCCACTGAAGGCTCGTTGTATACATCACGCATCTCAAGAAAATGAGATAAAAGCAGAGCTGCAAATGGAAAAATCATCATTATTAATAAAAAATATTTAAACTCTTCACTTGGACTCTGATTGCAATGACACTTTTTTTTTTCTGATGATGATGATGCAGACTGTCGAGTTTGAATTCTGATAGTGAGACAGGGTCCTCTTAATGGCTGTACCAAATATCGGGCTAAGCAGGTCATTTTAGATCAAGGTGTGTCCTTAAAAGGGAATGTGAAGGTAACTTTAATGAAATAAACAATTAAACTGATTTCAAAGAGAGATTTTAAGCAAAATAATTAATTTTCACATGCATGTATTCATCAAAGCACTGCAAAAACTTGTACATGTTGATATTTTCTAGAGAGGTGCGCCTTGTTTACTAAAGCTTCACGATGCTGATTCAAATGAATGTCTTGGTCCCTGCAGATTTTGCTGAATTTTGTCTTGTTTTGTTTGTTTGTTTTTAAGATTAAGATTTGTACAGGAAACATGCACTAATTTAGACCCAGGACAAATCTTTTTAGATGTGACCTGTCACCTGTTGAGCGTGCACCACAAACACACCTGGTGTAATTGTGTCCTACATTTAACATTTAAATCCACAACTCATACTGTCCATTTTCCATGTTATTTTAGCTGTTGAAATTTGTTTGTTTTTGGTAACCTCTGTTTTTCAAAGATATATGGAAAAATAAGGTGACACCAGTAAATCTCTAAAGCGGAGGCTCTTCGGGAGAAACTGCTTTCTGTTCCTATTTCCTTAAGGACATCTTAAGACCCAAATTGTACAAGCCGGCTGGTAAAGGTGTTTCAAAATCTGAGAAACTCCTCTAACAGAAAGGTATGAACAACTTTCTTGTAGGAACATGCGTGATACTTATGACTGACCCTGCTGTTGCGCAAACTTGTCCTTTTAAATGCGAATATCAGTTAAGCTGGAGGCAGCAGCCAACACAGCGGTACTCCATGGAAAAATAAACCAACAGAGCTGAGAAACCGGTTGTTTTTCCTCATGTGTCTTTCAGTGCGGGACAGGGAGTTGTGAAATCATGTGAAGTCTTTGCTTTTGAGGACAGCTCATGAATCGCAGCTGATTCTGGTAAACCACAAGCTGAAACTATAAAGCGTTTAAGTCCGTGGATGTTTTCAGACTTGCACATTTCCAACACTTGGCTACTGTTCCTTGAACCTTGGCGGTGATTGGCTGACAACCAGGTGGGTGGATCAGCAGGGGAAAAAAGTAAACATCACCCCAGGCTTTGCCACTCTGTACCTCTCTTTGGCTGCACAGTTCACTTTTGGCTCAGGTCAGACACCCGCTCACCTCGCCGCTTCTCTTCTTCAGCCATGACGATGACTGTTGCCATGGTGATGCTGTGCATGATGACGGTACATGCAAATGTGAAGCCGCAGAAAGATTTTAGCCTGCAGAAGGTAGGATGGAGGGTGTTTGATTTTTAAGCTTTTTTCTTTTTATATATTATTTTATGTTTCAAACCACGTTTATTCGTTTTGTTAAGAACGGGGTTTCTTTAAAAGGAGAACAGCTGTTCTTTGTTTGTTACATGACGCCACCTACTGTCTGCTGATGGTTTTATATGTGCGCACAGTTTGCGATGAGTTGCTACCTTACAATACACAAGATTAATGCACAAGTAAATCGTTTGCTGGTTTGATGGACTGTGTGAGGTTAACTTTCTTTGGCATATGTGCCATAAGAAATGTGTTTGACTGGCTATGAAGTGGGATTGTCCCACACTTACTTCTTCTTAGCCATATTATGTCTGTCCTTTATGAAGAAAGCCTTAAAAGTTTTATTCTTTATTTTAAAAGTAAAATGTTTATTTGACACAAAGTAGTGCTGATTTTCATACATTTTCCCCGCCAGGATTTTTTAAATATAGGCTATTGTCTGTTATATAAGAGTAAAAGTTAACACTTTCCCAATATAATTATAATCATTAACATTAAGTCAAGTAAACACCGTTTTACATGAGGAAAAATGAAAGTGGCTTATCGGTTTTGATGTACATCGAACATTTGAGGTAGGTAAGGATGCCCTGCTTTACACAATTGCAACAGGGTACACATTACAGCCTATGATAAAATAAATATGTGAGCCACACCATTTCACTTCAAGATGTGCTCTTTCATTCCGATCAACACAAGCACTGTAGTTTATTTTGAGTGAATCCCACATACCCCACCTTGCTTCCTTAAATACTTAGTGCACCAATTACCCGACTAAAAATACTCCCAACACATTATTTGTGCCTTAAAATACAGAACCTCATTTTTTCAGGGAAATACTTCTTCCTCTTTATTAAAATAATGACACTATGTGCATTTAACCATTTGGTTTATATCACCCAGTGCGTCTGGGACTGTGACAGACAGGTCACATGTAGCCTGTGCATGACTGCTCAGAAGTTCCAATAAACTGTGTCCTGTTTTTGTTTGTTTTGTGTGTGTTTAGTTTGCAGGAAAATGGTATCGCGTGGGGGTCGCCTATGACTCTCCGCGTTTCGTCCCATTCCGAAGAATGATTAAGGCATCCATGGGCACCATCACGCCGCTGCCAAACGGCAATGCTAATCTCACAATGTGGGAGGCATCGTGAGTCTGTTTTTGCAGGGGTGACACATTTGATCACTGTTGACATATGTGGACACGCAGGGACACGCCGCTCAGTCTGTGTGAGAAAAAACGGTGGCAGAGCTTTTTTAAACTCTATTATGGGGCAAAGTCAGGACACTTTTTAAGATCTTTTAATTAAATTTGACTTGTTATTGTGTCCACGCCCTTTATGTGCTCCAGTAACCTTTGTAATTTACACAATATGCTCTCAGAGTCATTTAAGATGGCTGTTGAGTGGCAAACTTGCATACAAGAGGACTGTATTGGGCTTTATTGAATTAATAACATCAAAGCTATCATATGTGTGCTAGTCAAGGAAAAGAGTTAAACAGAGAGGAGTAAGAAAGTGACACTTGTGGATAAACACTAATTTTTCTTTGCTTTTTTCAGACCCTTTAGTTGTGTGATCAAAAAGTACCAGTATGAGAGGGCGAGTGTACCTGGACAGTTCACCTACTTCAGTGCACGTGAGTCTTTTTCTAAAGAGAACTGACTTTTTCTATGATAGAATAAAAACTTGAGCTTGCAAACTTGCTCACAGCATGAGTTGACATTCAGGATCAGCAACATGTTATGAGCAAAAAAAACACAGTGATCACAAGGATAAAGCTGTGCAGTCCAGGCACGTGTGACAAAGTAATGACATAAAACTGAGAACAGGAAATAAGAGCAGAATACACACCCAAATATATTTGGGGGATTTTTCTTTTTTACTTTTATTATTTTTTACAGTTACGGTTTTCATGTGACATGTAAGTATTTTTTATTGTTTATATAGCATGCTGTCTAAATAACAAAATGTATGTTATTAAATGTAGTCATTTAAAATGCATAATTTTTACAGTGGTATAATTATGATTATGTTAGAATTGTATTGTAATGAACATTTAATGTAATTGAATGTAAATTGTTCAATAATGTATAAAAATTTTATTAAAATTCTGAGAATATTTTAAGTAGGTTTAAGTTTTCATGCGACACTTAAGTATTTTTATTATTTATATAGGTCTGCTGTCTAAATAACAAAATGTATATTATTAAATTTAATAATTTAGAATTAATTCTGAATTGAATTAAGATTCATTAACATCCAGTAAGTCAATACAAAAATTACATATCTTGTAAATTAATTTTATCTTCTACCAAATGTAATCGGGGGTTTTTACGTTCATGTTTTTTTCTTCTTCTTTTTTTTTTCTTTTCTTTTTTTTTTTTAGCTTTTTGCATTTTAAGTAACCTATACAGGCCTAATAGAAAAATCATATACATCCCATTTTGGTTTAGTGCAGGCAATTCTGTTTCATCCAGATTTAATGTATTGGTCCATTTATTCATTTATTTAATCTGCCTATCAATTTGCTTTTAAATGTTCAACTAGCAGGGGTGCTAAAATCTCGCTTCTGTGTCACGATTTCTCTCAGGCCATAACATGGTGAAGGACATCACTGTGGTGGAAACAAACTACACTGACTACGCCATGGTCCTTAAGCACAAGGTTTTCAACAGAGAGTACACACAGGTGGCACTTTATGGTGAGACACGCTCACAGATGCGTCTGAACATGCAGGCCACTGCAATTCTGTCTTCTTTACACCACATGTGTGTTTCTGTACTTGTCTGCAGCTCGCACTCTGAGCGTCAGGCCTGAGGTCGTACAGAAGTTTAAAACCTTTGCCTTGTCTCGCGGTTTACCAAGAGAGTCTATTGTGATTCCACCTCCAGCAGGTGAAGCAAGGGGGAACACACCTCCATATATACAGATAGTATATACACATCTGCGCGCATGTTGAAGAAAAAATGTCATAATTTTGGTCTGTATGTTTTCTGGTGAACAGAAAATTGCCCGCCATCAGTGTCTGGGCGTTAGGTAAGGCAATTTCTTTTTTTTTCCTTTTCCTTTTTTAAAAAAAAAAAAAATAAAAACCACAGGCGGTTATTTTAAATCTGCGTGTGCGAGTGATTTCTGTCCAGCTAGTATAAAATCATTTCTGTTCCCCCTTCTAGGTTCCCTGCTGTGCCTGAGATGAGGGTGGCATCATGTGTTCTTCGTGCTGTTCCAGCTCTGTGTCTGTGTCCAGTTTCTGACAGCATTTATGTATTATAAACTATTATTAAAAAAAACTTCAGCAAACATGATGCTGACTGCAAATGGCACAAGAAGCAGATATTGCTGATTACATTTATCCTATAGATCAACCTTGATTATGTAGTGTTTTCCATTATTTTCACAGTTCACATAGTTAAATAAACATTGACCTCCAGACTTTTATTAATCTAATTTGAGGTTGTTGTTTTTTTGTCTTATTATGGTTACATGTAAAATATGTTAGTATGTAATTCTGTGTTTTACTGTGATCTATATGTTCATCGCCTGACAGTTACCTCTACCAGGCGATATAGTCATCATATATCAATAAATATATTTCTGATCAGCTGCATTTTCCTTGAAATAAGAAATTTAATTTTACCTGCATATGCACAAACACTTTCTCTTGCATAAAGTGTTGCTGCAGAGGTTCACACTGAAAAGACAAATGTAAATAAAAGTTGGCTGCTTCATCGACTGCCCTGAGCCATATCAGCTGTGCTCTTTCACACTGTTGACATAATTAAATAAATATTCAGCCTGGACATAATAAATAAATCTCTGAGTAGATTATCTACAGTTTCTACTGCATTTGTGGCACAAAACAATTGGTCTAAAGGTCACTGAAAGGAAGTTTTTTCCCTCAGTGAACACCAGGTGGCACATACACACCAGTATGTGACATACAGTTTATGATGCAAATATCATGATACCATGAGAAATGAGATTAAATGAGCTGTGTGTTGAAGGGACACTTCTGTCTGTGGTAACATCAAAAAGTCTCTGTAGCTGATACTAATGCTACATTTCCCCACAATCTGTTAATTACTAACATGTATTGATCAGTTGTTTGTTTTAGCTTCAAACTCTGAAGTCCAGCAATTCATTTCTGATTATTTGGACCAAAGGACACACAGTGACATGCACACACCTCTGTGCACAGACACACTGATCGTCAGAACTGCTCTTTAAGTTGTGTCTTTTCTTGCTTTTTTTGGTCCTGTTTTGAGAGGGGATTCACAAAAGCCACATACGCAGGGTGTCCGTTTGATCCAGAAAGGCAGCAGACAAAAGTTTCTGGGAGGTGACAGAAAGAGACAGGTTGGACAGGCAGGCTAACAAAATGCAGGGAGCGGTCAGGCCTGTGTCTGTACTGGTCATGGGGTGGGCCCTCGTGACCTTCCAGGTATCTCCTGTGGAGCCAAAAAATCTTACCCTGACCCAGGAGAACTTTGATCTGGAGCAAGTGAGTGGATAAAATACTAAAAAATGAAATTTCTTTAGTTATTTCCCACTCCACCCAACGGCAAAGTTTATCACTTCTTTTCATTCAATAATATCTGAGGTTGTTTTTATTGCCGCACGTCAATCCACATGTTTTAATGTGCAGTAATTATGAGTCTTGTCACACCACGCCTTGACTTCAGCAATCTTGGCACAAATTCCTGACAAACATCAGCTTATCCAGAAGTCAGCTAAACATGTCACACCCCTGCTGATTCATCCACAGTACACTGGCTCCCTGTACTGCCATGAATTCACCCTAAACACATGACTATTAACATTTGAAGTTCTTCGCAGGCTCTGCCCTGCATATTTCACTGATCTCCTCCAAACTTAAACTTCCATCTGCTCCCTGCAGTCTTCATCAGCAGGACTACTTTTCATTAACCTTAGAACTCTGGGAGCCAGGTCCTTCTCTTATGCAATACCTAAACTTTACTCCCGCACATCTGCACACTCCTTGAAAGAATTCAAAACTGCGCTCATGACATTTTTAAGCTGTTCTGTTTTGTTTTGACTGGTCCATTTTATAATATTAGTATCTGTTCTGTTTTATGTTATGGCGTGTTCCTCGCAGTTTATGGGAAAGTGGTATGAGGTGGCAGTGGTGTCTACCTGCCCTCATTATATGCAGCGTAAGAGGGGAAACCCTGTCATTGTTGCACTTGAGCTGAAACATGTTGCATCTGAGGAGAACTTCACCATGACAGCCACTACTTTCAGGTCAGATTCACCCACATGCTGTTTCTCATGCAGTGGATGAGTATGCTACACTCAATATAACCTTTCATGTGTTTGTGTCTGCATATAGGAACAGCTTGTGTACGGAGACTTCAACAGATTACAGTCTGACGGACACTCCAGGGCGATTCTTCTACCACACTGCAAGTATGTTTTCTGCTTTCCTGCATATATAGTACATCATTTCTGTGACATGTGTACAATAAAAACATTCTCATGATGCTAAAATAATACTCAGAAAACCTGATGCGTTAACACTTTATTTTCTACAGGGCTAGGGGCCAATGTTGATGCCTTTGTGGTTCATACCACCTATGATGAGTATGCTGTGATGCTTCTGCTGAGCACAGAGAAACCATCAGGAAATAAAACCACCATAGCCAAACTTTACAGTGAGTGACCACTGTTGGATCATCAGCCATTTTACCTTTGATTTATCAAGATATCTGTGTTGATTTTTTTAGCAGTGCATTTCTTTGTGTCCAAATTAAAACAAGGGTCAGGTACTTTAATTTATCAATCAATATTAATTATGAGTAAGCTAATAATAGACTTCATATTCCCAACACCTAATCTAGTGTACTTAAAGCAGGTAAAACTTGCAAAGCTTCTGAGGCTATTGTATAAAATCTAATTGTCTCTATACATGACTGTAATCTTGTTCAAATCATGAGATCTCACATTTAGCCTTTTAATTTGGAACTATTTAATGCTTTTCAATATAAAATTATAAAAACATAGAAATTTGTTGTTCTCACAGAGATTTTATGAACTTTAAATGTGCTGATTCTAACACTTCCTTTCTGTTTCCTTCCAGTATTTAACAGAGTATGAACAGTCAGTGTTATAAAACACTAAAGAAAATCTGTCCTCTTCAGGTCGGACTGTGGAAGCAGGCCCCGCTGTGCTGGATCACTTTAAAACACTGGTCAGAGAGCATGGAATGAGAGACGATGCTGTCATCATGAATCAGGACAAAGGTGCACACATTCCCTGAGAACTATTGATGATATGTCTCACACTCGTCATCTCCATCTTTAGCATTTTTTGCCCAGTATATTCACTATCCTCTGCACATGTCCAAATCATCTTTGCATGCTGTTCAACCTGAGCTAACCCTCTGATTTTTAATATAGTCCCCCCCCCCCTTCCCCCCGCCAAGCAGAACAGATTCGCCTGCTGGGATAGCCATGTTTGACACCCTTACTGTTATTGATTTTTCCCTCCTGTTATTGGATATTATCTTCATGGTTGTGTTTTGCATGTTTAGCGTTTTCTATTATTAAATGCATTTTAGAAAGTCATCAACTCTAATCCTTCTGCCTTTACAGGTGAGTGTGTTCCAGGTGAAAAGATGACAAAGACACCTACTCAGGTGCATGCTTCACACTAACACACTAACATATAACACTGTAAAACCCAAGATTTATAACTATGTTAAAGTGATGAGTCTTTAATGCATTTTAATACCTTGTATGTCATTATTTCAGGTTATTGTTCCCAAAGGGTTAAATAGAAACGCAGTTCCACGTACGACACATCCCCAAGAAGAGTTCACTGTTACCATCTGACCCTATCCTTACCATCCTCCTCTGTCAGATAAATCCTCTGCATGTCCTCCTTCACTATATCCATGGATCTCCTCTTTCCCTCCTGCCTGGCAGCTACACGTTCAACATCCTTTGCCAAGTATATCCACTATACTTCCTTTGCTTATATCTAAACCGTCTCAGCCTTACCACTGTCCCTCTGTGGTACACGTTTCTAATCCTGTCTATTCTGGTCAATCCCAATAAAAACCTGAGCATCTTCAGCTCTACCACCTTGAGCTCAACCTCGAGGTGGCAGACCTCGAGGTTTTTTTTGTCAGTGCCACTGTCTCCAAACCAAACATCATACCGGGTATGACTACCAGCGTTTAAACCTTCCTTTTACTCTTGCTGCTATCCATCTGTCACAAATCACCCACTCGACTTTGCCTCCATTCCCTTGTTAACTGTTGATATAAATAAAAATATGTAAATGTAAAAAAATGCAATAAAGATGTTGTGTTTCTGTCAAATTTGAGCGTTTTAATAAATATATATTTGCTACAGGATCAAGTGTAAAACCTGAAGAATATGATCATCACAAGAAAACCAGATTCACTAAGTATATTTATTTAGACTGTTTTGATAGTGCCAGGCTCCCACAGTGAATACTACACCACAATGATCTACTTTTATACATGAAATACTTTCTGTGTCAAAATGAAATTTTGATGTGTATAAGCACTTTGCAAATCTAAAGTTTATCTAAATTAATTTGGATTTTCAGACTACATAAAGGAATTTCAAGTTCTTATATCATATTGCAAAGATTTAATATACAGCTGGTACATAGTTCAAAATGCAAATTTTAATGTGTGAAACAAGTTTACATACAAAAAAAGGACTTTAACTTTTAACCACCTGCTATATATGGCATGGTATGCTAATACTTTCTACAATTATTTATCATATGCATTTGGATGTGCAAGTTTAAGAGATGTGACAAATATTTATTTAAAGATAATATTTTATTGTCAATATTATTTCAAATAAAGTGACCATGCTATTTGAGAAAAAAAAGCACCAAACATATGGCAAGTGTAATAAAATATCTCATGTACAAATGTTTCCTGTATGTTTCACTGCCCCAAGGAATCATTTTCTAAAATGCGCTGCACCGCTCCCCAACGGGACATGGAGGGAGAGAGCTGAAACAGAATCGTGCATGCATGTGGATACCTTGTAAATTTACTCCAACATCATGGTTTCACATTATAAAGTTACAATTTACACATGTCTGGAATCATACATCAGTCCAATCCAAGCCCTCAAAAATGTGATTCTGGCTAACCTACTATCCAGTCATATCTGGTCCTCTTTGCTCTCTAACCTGTCTGTGAATAATATTGTAAGTGTGATCGTGAGCTGGGGTCCTGGTCTGTACATCCAATGGCACAAAGTGCAAGCTTGAGCTACCAATAGTTATTTAGGTATTACAAGGGTGGAGCTGTAGATGGCAACTCACTCGCCAAGATACGTAACTTTTTGTATATGCCCCCAAAGCATTATGGGCTCTGTAGTTCAGAAAAGATAATTTCTCTCACTTACACATTAGGATGAACTAGTATGCTATTGTTACTCATTAGTCCCTCCAATCATGACAAATATTGATTTGTTTGCATTGCAGTGATCAGGTGAGATACACAAAATCTGAACTTTGCTCTTTTACTTGTTTGTTTTTTACTCAGCTGTGGGGGGGCTGAGTACATGAGGGGGGGCCCGGCAAACATAGCCCATAACAGTTCAATGCACTGTCTCCTATTCAAGAGGTGAGAGGGGGCTGTTTTGATGTTTCATACTTAGGGGACATTGTTACCAACGCGTGGACAGACAAGCTGGCGAGATGCAGAAAGCAGCGACTGTGATTACTCTGCTGGTCCTGGGATGGACCTGGAGCCTCGAGGGGCTCCCTGTACTCACAGACCCGCTTTACCCCACACAGGAAAACTTTGATTTAACCCAGGTAAGTGCTTGAGTTCTGCGCTCTTGTTAATATTCTATAACATTGTGCATATTGCATAATTCTGAGAAGTGTTAAATGCAAAAAGTTAAAAGCAGGAGATGCTGGTATGCCCTTTTCCTGTGTATTTAAATTCTAACATTTTATTTCTTTTAGTGTTTACTGAACATTTCTTAAAGCCTTAATCTCAAGCAGAGGAAACCTAAAAATATAAGGATTATATGCTGAGGGCTTTTATAATGGAAACTACAGCTGTTAGTTGCACAGTGCAAAGGTCGGGTATGAATCCATTGAGTGCACATAGATAACTATGACAGAGCAAGCCTAAGGTAATATTTATCTTTATTTCTCATTGCAAAACATCCTTTATGATTCAGTCAAATGACTGCTTCAAATCACTTGTATTCTCAGGACTAAGGTCCAAAGTAAACGTTTCCTTTAGATGTAGAACACAAGGACCTCTCCAAACTTGTATTTTTAAAACAAATTTAAAATAGTTTAGTTAAAGTTGACTTTTTGTATTAAATCCAGCGTTAAAACAACATTTAACTATATATTTTTTAATCATCTATATTTGTAACATCTTTATTTTTATACCAGATGTTTGGTTAAGCAGTCTGTGAGTTTTATATTAATTTGTGAAAATCTTCTTTTTGTTTACTTCTCCTGACAGTATTTGGGAACATGGCATGATATTGCCATTGCATCCACATGTCCCTATATGCAACGTCATAAGTCAGGTGCAGCAATCGGAAAACTGGTACTTCAGAGAGGTGATAATGAAGGCAAACTCAAGGTGACTCGAACTTCACTGAGGTTAGTAAAAAACGCATGGGTGTGCGGACACAAACAGTAATGTACAGCAAGCATGTATTTCTGACAGCAAAACACACTGTCCACCATTGTGTTCCCTTTAAGCTGGGTGGGTTTTTACAAAAAATAGTTTTTTGTTGTTTGTTTTTGCTAATGTACTCATTCTAAACATTTTATCAGACATACTGAGGGAAACTGGATTAACCAAAATTTAAGAGAAATCTGGCAAAAAAAAAACAAATATAATATTTAATTTTGTTGGATGAATTTTATTTGTGAAAGCTACCAAATTCTGAGAATCTGCTGTAAAAGAAGCTATCAAGCTGTAAAATACCAGTAGCAGCTGTAAGAGTAATGCGATCTGCTCACTGATGTATTAAACATGTTTTCTCAAATGAGTCTCTCTACACATTAACTGCTTTTA